GCGGTGGGCACACCCCCAAAACCCAGAAACATCCACGGCATCGCAACAACTTTGCACAGCCATTGGGCGCTAAAGTGCAGAGTGAATTTCGACGCAATTCAAGTTGCATCATTCTGGCCCCCAAGATCAGTGAGGTCTATATATAACCGGCGTCGACCCAGGTGTTGGAAAAGGCATATCGTTTGGAACACAGTCAGGTGGAAAAGATTGAAAAAGCGTGGACATCGACTTTGACACACAAAAGGACGAAAAAACACTCAGTTATCTACTCAGTTGTTCTCGGAGATCGCCGTACTGATCACATTACCCCAGGAGTACTTACTCAAAAAGGAAGGTCTTCAGGGATCTTTTCAACTTCCAATTGCGACAAGGACACTTCCACTTAAGCGACGAAGTCGGAACGCTCCTCGGTTTTCCGCGTCGTACGGGCAACGGCGGCCCGCGCGGACCTCGGACCTACACCAGCGATGCATATTGGAAGATGGCAGCCATGACACCAGTGAGGCTCACACCTTGGTCAAGCAGGCAGAAGGAGTCATCTGAATGGCAGTGGTTGCAAGGGTAACACGACTGATTCGGGTTTGGGTCTTCTATATTCATTGACCAGGACTGGCAAGATTGCGCCAGTCCTGGTGCGAAGTAATTGAACAAAGGCAGCGTTCAGCGTTCAAAGACCAAATCTGTGCAATGTTCTCGCGCCCAGGCGAGGGAAGTTCGCACTGCGTGGGCCGTTTGGCGGTCATTCCACATGAGGATGCGGCTGGAAAGCATGCATGCATATGCATCTCAACCAATCCTCCACGCAAAATGGTCGAATGCCACGCCACCGAAATGCGCCATCAAGCAGAACAGGAAGAACCTCAGGTCGCAAAGCTGTGATGCGGTCGATGGGTGGACTGGACGAAGCTGTGAGAATAGTGTTCCACCTGGACGAATCCCCAAAGTCTTCATCTTCGCTGGGCTATTCCTGTGGGCTCCCTTTTTCTGAAGGGTGGAGCGAGCTCCAGAATGAGCAGTTCTATAGAGCAACAGCCCATGTATCCTAACATGTATCTGGTCCCATCCAAGAGTGATTCCGAGCTCGAATCACTGTGACTCTGCCTTGGCATCCGTCCCGGTCCATCCGCCCTGGGGCCATGGCTGGTAGCCGCGGCTACGGCGAGAGTTCAGCTCATCGACCTAAAAACGTCGACGAGATCGCTCCAGTCAGGGGCCAGGAATCGCCAGTGAATCTGTGAGAACTGCGTTCGAACGCGACGCGATGACTTTTCGTAATTAGTTCTTTCAGGATGAACAAATAGGGACCAACTTCCGTAGCATAGATGCGAGTTCAAACTAAAGCAACAACATTGCCATGTTCAAAGATTAATCTCAGGGCAACCAGACTTCCCCCCTTCATCGTGTTCGGATCCTTTTCAGATCGTTTTGACTCTGAAGAGGAGCAAACGACTGGTGACCTGCGTCAGCAGCGTTCTTCTGACGGACAGCCAAATGAACCCGTTCCGAACCCGTTCCGAACGGTGTACCTGGACAGGGTGCATCTCCTCTGGACCCCGCGCTTCGCTTCGCAACGAACCCAACGATGAAGGCTCTCTTCATTCCACACTTCTTCAAGATCCAAGTGAGCTCTCCGGTCCCGGAATTCACTTCCCCACTACAACTCAAGTCCACTCGAAGGCGACGTGCGACTCAGAACTCCAAAAGGCTGGATCTTCCACCCACTCGAAGAAGAGCGGATGTGCCGACCTGGAAGGTCTGAGCTGCCGCGCGGCGGAGGGCTGAAACGGGTGTAAACACCAGCGGGTGATGAGATGGTGCGGACGGACACGGGTCCAAGACGGTTTCGGTGCCTTTTGTGGGGAAGAACATGGAAGAACCACCACATTGGACTGTAAAGAACATCCGCGTGATCTTATTTCCACTATCATTTCCTTTTTGGAGGCTGCGTGACACCCAAGTTCATGCAACAGTTGATCAATAATTCAATAGCCATGGTTGTCTCGGGCATCAACAACATTTCAGGTAATTAAATTACATGAGAAATCAGTTTATGTGTAACAACACAATGGGAGGCATTGTATCTTTGCTTGGGGTTGCTGGTGTCAAATTCTGTGGAACGATCGACAAGGCCTTTCTTGGAGGGTCCGTACAAATCACCGACTATACTGGCACGTTGTTCTCGGAACTAGGTATCCCTGTAGCCTTTGAAGTTTCAGTTTAGCTTAGCAAACAAGGAATTTGTCTATCGACCCAAGAGAACCCACTTATTTGAGTGGTGTTTTTTTTGGGTGCATGGAAGTATACACTGGGGAGCATGTATACGCCAGGGGTCAATTAGTCTGTGAGGTAGCCTACGCAAGTGTATTCCAGTTTGAGGGCTTTGTCGAGGCATCTACGCGGTCGACGACTTCACGATGAAGAAAACGAGTCCGACCTTCTTGAACGCTGACCTTCGGAAGATGTCGTAGTACGGGGAGCAGCTTCTTGGTAGTACAATTGTGTGGGAGCTCTGGCCTCAGAACTGGCCACTTGGTAGTACCAATGTAGTACGGGAAGCAGCTTCTGGGAGCTGTCGCCTCACAGCTAGCCACTTGGTAGTACAAAGTGCGGGCAGCTTCTGGGCGGCCAAACCCTTCCAAACCAAGTCGCGGCCTACACGAGCAACTACGCGAGGCATACGTGGGTTTGTGTCACACTTTTCTACCGTTGAGTTGCAACTCACAACTACGCAAGCCTGCCTACGCGAGACACTGCTATGCTTTCCTACGCGGTTGCCTACGCAAACTTCCGCCCCCGAGCAGAACAGCCTACGCAGCATGAAGAGCAGTTCCACTTTTGTATAAACTCCTTCATAGACAAAAAAACGATAAAACAAGTACTCATTTAGCCGTTTTCCTTCTTGGCATCAGGTGGCGTCTCCAAACACACAACAAACAATAAATAATTGGAGACATCGTCAATATATGTCAATATACAGGATCATCTTGTTTTCCTGCTTTCTTCTTTCATTTGCCCCGCATCCTGATGATGGAATCGCAAATTGAAGGTCCAGCGAATCCGCTCTTCCTTCCCCCAAAATGTCACAGCTCCTCACAAGTCGGACCACAGGTCCATGAAATCCAATAGAAACCTTATCCAATGGGTTTCAGGGGATTCAGGGGATGGCTATGCAATGGTGTCCACGATGGAAGCCAGGCTCGTGTCCTTCCCAAAAAGCATGTGACTGTCAGAGGGAACCTTCGTCGAGACGGAGCTCTCCCCCCAAAAAGGCCTGAACATGGCTCACTCAGCCCCTCACACGGGATGATTTCACTCTGTTTTGGGTCTTTCTCGCAAGGTTCATGAAGTGCACGGAAGGATGCTTTTGCAGGAGTCCCTGGACAACAAAGGATGAACCAAACGTCCCACGTCCCTTTGCGTCGGGACGCTGGGCCCCAATCCCCCCATCCACGTATTTCACTCCTGTGTAGGAACGCAATCACCCCACTTCAGCCCACCCCTCAAAAACCTCGTTTTCTCACGACCTTCAGCAACCTTCGACCCCTCCCAACCTCCGGTGAGATATTCCGCCTCCACTGCGAAGCGAACCGGACGGGCCTCAGCTGATGGGTGGCCTCCGCTGCCTGGACCGCCAACTTGAAGTGGGGTCGTTCGGAAGCACCTCGGGCCCGGTCGTTCGGCGTGCAACGATCGAGGATTCCAGCCCCAGCAGTGAGAGGCGCGCCATCCTGGAGCCAAGGTAGGAAGTGAAGGGACATTCAATGGAAATTATAGTAGAGATCCAAAATGCCAAGCAGTGAACATGTCAACGTCCACAGCGGTTTAAGATCCGTTTGCAACTGGATCCAGCCCCCACTCCAGCCCTCTCTCTCCGTGCTTGACACGCTCTTGTCCGCTCTCTTTTCCTCCGTCTCAACTGCTCGAGTGCGGCGCGTCATCTTGACACGTGGAAGATGTGTAGATACCAGTAGGGTCCCCTGGGTCGGCTCCAGAAGTCAAGCTTCCTCCTAATTGCATGGTTACACCCTCGGTTCCTCCGCAGAGATTCTGTGACAGTCGTTCATAGCTTTTGGACTGCTACGGGGTTGTCCATTGTCTAAGCTCATACCACTGTTTTTGTCGGTTTAGAGTTTATATTAACTATAGTCTATTCTATCTCTTCATATCTCTTCTTGAGATGGCTGCCTTCAGATCCAAAATGGGTTGGGCAAAGAATTTGTTGTCCATCCAGGGTTCCATAGGTTGTATTTATAGCAATTCTTTCTCGTAGTTCTGGGTTCTGGAGGGCTACGGCCACCGACTTTTCAATCGGTGTAAGTTGCGACACTTCCGGTTACACAATAAAGCTCTTCTTCTGACTCGCAAAGCTAAAGCTTCCTTGAGGTCAACTTCTCAAGTCCAATTCACACCCGATGCATCCAATCCAGGTCAACATGCAAAGACCAAGCTCTTCCGGCCTTGCCACAGCCTTTTCTGAAAGCATTCTGGAACCAAGGCAACCCAGAAACAACCTCTATCGAACTCTCCCGTCTCTCGCGCTTAGCTGAGGGACCTCAGTGGGCCCAATGACCAATGTCTGGCTCTCCGTCCAGCCCCACAAGTTCGGACAGAACAGCTGCGAGGGAACCCCAAAATCAACATGTACTCTAATTGAAGTTGAGTATTCTGGAACATCCCAAACACCTCCCATGACTAGACTCATCTAGACTCACAAGAAGTCCCAAGTTCGAAACACTTCGGTAAAGACGTTCTCAAGTCATGTGCGATGCGAACGCGGCGAACTTCGAGTCAGCTGATGTAACGCATGTAAAGTGACGCGAGACTGAACATCGCCCCGGGTGATTCCCAGTTCTCTCATATTCCAAGAGTTACAAGTAGCAGGTCTATCATCAAATCATATCAAATCCAAGAGAACCCTCAAAACACACTGCACTTTCTTGTCCCAGCAGCGCAGCGCAGCCTGCGGCAGACGGCACAGCCTGCGGCATACAGCCGGTGCGTCAGCCGGCGCTGCGGCCACCGGTACTGAAGGTATGGAGATCGCCTTGATGGAAGTAACCTTGGAGGCATCGCGGAAGAGACGCCTCTGGTGCTTTCTCCAAACAGGCAGCGGGTGTCTTTCGCCCGGTGTCTTTCGTGACACGGGCTTCGAGCCCTGGAACTCCAAGCTAATAGCAGCCTCCCTAGTAGCGGCCTCCTAGGTCTGCGTATCACTGAGTCGACTCACAATATAGGATCTCTGTTTCTGTTGCCATGGTTAGCCCATCAAGGCTTTAATAAGACAACTCTCACGTCCAAAAATCACGCTGCGGGAGAAAACTCGTTGTTGGAATTCTAGGAAGCGAGGCTCGCGAGGGGTGCAGTAAAGGACTCAGTAAAGGTCCGCAACTTGACCTATAGCTTCATACTGGGGCTGCCAGTGTTCAACAAGTACCAAATGCTTCTTTAACCGACGGCTTTAAAGACGTGGCAGTTGGGTTCTTCTGGACGGAATATGACGGTGGACTCGCTTCTTCCCCGTTCGGAACACGTGAAACATGTTGCCCTTCAAATCTTCGACTGACCATTTTTCCAAAGCTAGCATTCTCTCTATCTTCTAGCGACATCTATCAACTCAAAAAAACAACAATCACAACATATCACCTCCTCATGGTCCCATCCTCCTCCCCCATGGTCCGCTGCTCCGTCCACATCTGATGTCGACTACTCGACTCCCATCCGCCATGGCACCGTCCACTTCCCATCCCAAGACGTCCGCGGAGGACAACACGCGGCGCTTCGAGCTGTAAACCTCCGCGACCAACGGCGCTGGTGCCGAGGCGGGTGGCGAGACGCTTCTGGGTGAAGTGATAGTACCTATATATCGGGTTCCCCACCCACAACAGCCAGCCTGGGCGGTGCGCGGCACACGTGCCCGTTTGTCCTGTCCGGTCCCTTTGGCCGTTGGTTCCGTGTCGTGAGGCAGCGAGTCAAATACGAAACCTGGGTGACTTTGAAACCTCCCAGACGCTCCAAACAGTTTTTGGTCCCTCAAAACCTAGGGATTTGAGGCCCCCCAGACCCCTCCATATGAGGGTCCCGGGTCGCGTCTGGGCTGGGCAAAATGACCACAATCATCATCATGGGTCGATTCGCCCCCAAAGCACTGATACAGCTGCGGTGGCGACATGGCCGTGATATCGCTCTTGTTACAAGATTGTCGAAACACCAGAAAAAAAACGTCACCATCCGTCACCTGTCGCTGCTGTCGGCGAGTGATGGGCGAGGCTTGGGATGAGACGAGACACTTTTGGCGAGACAAGCAAAGGGCAGGAGGGTGGGGGGTGCAAGTCGTGCGGCTGCATGGTGCAGCTAAGGAGTGCTTGTTAGGAGTAAACAAATGGAACAAGAATGATTCGCTTCTTGAGATGCTAAACTGCACACTTTCCGGCTTTAAAGGGCCAAGCAAAGCCCCAGTGATTATTTATTAGATGCTTCTTGAATCTAGTTCTGTATACCCCTTCAACACGACCGAACTTGAGAGGGACGTCCAGAAACACCGGTTGACGCCCCCTCCCGGTGTTCGGTTGGCCGGCTGGGCCGAAACGAGACACCCGAGTTCGTACGTTTTGGTGGGCCGTGTTCCTTTTTTGACAGAATGGCATGTGACTGGTCACATTCCCACCTTTTTCTTGTGGGAATGTAGGTGGAAAAAGACCGAGAAAGACAAGACACATTGAGAAGGGAAGTGCAAACTGGACAGTAACTGGGATACTTCGGGAAACATTGGGAAACCCATGTTCTTGGAGGATGTTTGATTGCCAAGTGACTTTTGCATACTAAAATCCGTATTCACGTACTGGAAGCCAGGTGCAGGGAACATCCATTGTTGGTGAGCATGGCATGGTTCAAAAAAGCTTGAATGGCCGCCCTGGGCTAGCACGGGTTATATAAGCTTCGGAACTCCATCACAAAACATCAATCAAGATCAATCAAGTGCTATCACGGGTCGAAAAGCGATCTATCACCTCCTGTCACACACCTTGTGCTTCTCCACTCTTCTTCGGATCCCCTTCGATCAATCCATCCGGCGCGTGCTCCGTCCCAGCGGCCCGTAGGATGTCCGGGCTCAAGGAGCCCAATTGGACGATCGCGTTGCCTGGACACGGACGGACGGTTCAACCGACCGTACCGAACGGTGGACCGGACCGAAGGAGACGGGGCGGGGCGGGTCGAGGACCGATACAGATGCTAAGGTGAAGATGTGTGGTTGTAAGTGGGGTGTAGGGAGTGGGGTAGGGAGTGGGGGAACCTATATCTCTACACCTATATGCAATTATATTTCTACACCTATGCCATGCCATTGGGGAAACATGTCTGAACATCCTACATGGCATGGTTGAATTAGAAGAAGGTGTAGAAATATATTGATTATTTGGTGTGTCTCACATGCTCGTAATAGGAAAGGACCCAGGAAACACTGGAACAAGTCATTCAGAGAATTCCCTGATACAGTCTTTTTGGACCTCGTTTCATGATGAAAGGGGTTCCTATTGAAGTTTCAGGTTTTTGGGGCATGCCATGGATGCAAGCAAATCGGATGTGCCTTGCGCAGCAGCTGAAAATCAGATTCCAAGTCTGGATCGCCAACTGCTTCACGGGACTCTTGTACTTGCAATTCATGCATACCTTTCATCTGTTGCACCAAAACACTCAGACTGCTTGCTATGAGAGCAATCACTAGTAATCACTTCCGTATCATCTCCGGTTTCTCTGGGTTCTTTCTCATCTCCAGCTCATCTCTGATCTGCTCATCTTTTGCTGCCAAAACATTTGCGACCTTTCAATCAATCATCACCCCAAACCAGCCCATCTCAACCATCTCCCATCATTTCATCTAGTCTCAATCTCTCCACTCTTCCTCCCAGAACGCCCTCGCTTCCACACCACCTGCCTCCACGTCCGCTCCACGTCCATCCCGCCCTCCACTGTCGCTCGCCTGTGAAGCGCACCGTCTCCAAGTCGATGAGCCGCGCGGCCGAGCGCTTCGCGCCCATGATGCTCCGCTCCGACTTCACCGAGCCTCGGCCGAGGCCGAGTGCGAGCAGCACATGGGTGGAGGCTTTGAGTGGAAAATGCTCATGGACCACTGGATGAGATGAGTGGATGAAATACATTGAAATACACCTTATTGTTGTGGAACTCGTTGTAGAGGTTTCTTGATCAGGATAACCCAGCAAGAAAAGCATACTTGTTGCATGGGTCCCTGAATTCATTGTCCGCTTGAGCATGGTTTCAGGCTCTCACACCACATGCAGTGCAACATAGCCATGTTTCAAACCCTTCCCCCGCCACACAATCACCCCACTGCCTCTCAGTGGCACGCTTCAAACACACTTTTTTGAGTTGACCAACTGCTTCGCAACTCCCTCAACTCCCTCAAAAAGTCAACTGGTAACTCAACCAACTACTTCGCCTCCGGACAACAACGTCCCTCACCTCACTCGACCTCTGTAACTCCTCCCAGTCTGCTCGCAGTCTCGCAGGTCTCACCCCGTCTGGGTTGACCGCGCCGGGCCAAAGAGTGAGCACATAGACGCCGTAGTTCCGCACTCGCTCGGACAGGGCCGCCATGGAGCGGTCGAAGGTGGCCTTGTTGCCTGCAGCAGTCGAAGGTGCAGCAAGACTCGACGGATGGGACGTGTTTCACGGACCTGGACCTGTTTCTATTGACCTGTTACTAGATATTGAACCTGTTGCAGGTTTGTGGACATAAGAAGTTTTCACTGCAGTTGGTTGCTTTGTACAGTTTATTGGAACCTTTTGGAACCTATACATGGACAAATACACTGGCAAAGGGAAGTACCTTGGGATGTTACAATGTTCCCCATCCGTTGTTGAATGTTAGCGAATGTTCCATATTTCGACCTAATGATAACTGGCATACAAGTAGCCGAAGTAGCCAAATAGCAGCGCGAACAAATAGAGTTCAGTTATCTATATTTATAAGTTGTAATAAATAGCCGTTGGCCCGAATCGTTCCAGTCGTGCGGCTGAGGCGGCTGAAATTCGGGAGACCGTCCTTTAGGTAGTTGAGCCATGCAGGTGGACCGCCTGGCCACGCCGGCCGCGCCAGGTGTTTTTGAGCTCCTCAGGTCTCTGGATCCTGGAGCCGTGCTGGTCAAGTGCCTTGCTTCTGAGGTACGCGCGGTACTCCTCAGCGATGCTGCGCTTCCACTTAGGTTCACCATGTACCATCCACGATTGATCTCAACGGATCCGCTGACACTGGCGGTTGACTCTTCGGACATCTTTGAAGCTGTTCATACCACTGAGGCTTTCTCTCGAAATGTCTTGGAGCTTTGTGCCGGAACTGGAGCTATGGGGTTTGCTACCGGTTTCATGGGCACCACCACAGTTAGCTCCTTGGATTCGAATTGGTTGGCCTCGCAACATCTTCGACAGTGTTCAGCAAAACCGGTTTTCGAAGCCGATCTTGGGGATTTAGATAGTGTAGAAAAGCTGCATTTGGAGCTTCGACGTACCAATCAGAGCTTTACTGCACTAGCAGGATTTCCCTGCCAGCCCTTCAGCCTTCAGGGACATCGTTTGCACTTTCAGGATTGCAGGGCACAGACCTTTCACAAATTGATGGATTGCTTATTCCTCTTACAGCCACAGGCTGTTCTACTGGAATGCGTTCCGGCCGTTCAGGAAGATGACCTTCTCCAGCAGGAGCTCTCTCATTTGGCCTCGAAGATGGGTTGGCAGATCGATCAAACCATCCTGCACCTTCACCATCAATGGCCAATGAAGCGATCGCGATGGTACTGTCTCCTTCGACCAGTTGAATGGAGTGGCTTCCCATTGTGCCCTTGGCCTGAAATTATGCCTCCCCCCAAAGTCTCGGAGGTCCTTCCTTTTTTGGGGAGTTGGGATGAAATGGTGATCAGTAATCTTCAGTTGCGGGTTGACGAACTCCGATACTACATGGACAAGAGCTACGGCACGGACAAGCGACTGCTGGAAGGGCACGATCAATGCCCGGTAGTGCTTCACGCCTATGGCAGCCAATTTGACCCTTGTCCTTGTGGATGCCGCTCGGCTGCGTTTAATCAGACTACGCTCCAGCAGAAGGGACTTCGTGCCTTCTTTGTGGTGGATGCTGACACCAATGTTCCGCGGCTACTTCATCCGACTGAGTTGGGGGCCCTTATGAGCATGCCACCACAGTTTCAAATTCATGCCACAGGACGGGCCGCACTATGTTTGTTGGGCAATGCTGCAGCACCTTTGCAAGTGCTTTGGACCTTTGCCTCGCTCCTTGCAGGTGCAGGACAGCATATTGATAAATTGGCCTTCATCCACCCACTTGAGGTCATTGAAAAGTATGGCAACTTTGTCAAGGATTCCTACCGGCTCTTGATTCCCTCCCCTATGTCTTGCCCGCCAACGCGTCTGGACATCAAGGCTGAAGATGGCTCCACGCTTTCCATCTTTGCGGCCACGGCCACGACCATTGGTAGTTTTCTGCAGGCAGAGCGGATCACATTAGACTGGGGGTATACTCAACTTGTACGAGCTGGTGATTTTCTCCTCTCTTCGCAAGACGATTTGCATCACCTTGCTTCTCAAGCTGACCTTCAATTGGAGAGACAGCCAAAGAGACGGCGCACAGCGTCACCTCAGGGATTGTTGATGATTGGTCTTCAATGTGGAAGCTCAACAGATGCTCAGTTCTTCATCTCCTGCGTACCAGCCGGTACTTTCCTGTTTGAATGCATGAGAGAGCATGGCTTCAACTATGAGAGATTCGTGGTTGATGACGATGGTCGACTCTTTGGTGGAGACACCCGCCTTTGGACCTCAGGGCGCTTTACTATCCTTGAGGAGAATAGCTTTCCGTCAATCTCGATGGATCCGGCAGGCGTGCAGAGTTCTCATGACGTTCCTGGTCACTCAGGTCCGGGAGGAGCAACTTGCGGCTTGGGCTCGCACATCATTGATCAGGTCCTGCATGACTGGATTCAGCAATGTTATGGCAGTTCACCACAACCATGGTGCCTCAAAGCCCTTTGGATGGACTCAGATTTCCAACTGACAGGCCTTCCTCAGCAAGTTGAGGACAACGTCGGAGAGGTTCTGGCACCGCTTGCTCATCGGCACCATTGGGCCTTGCTCTATGGCAGAGACAGTCCCTCCGGATGGGAATGGTTCTATCTGGATGGCATTGCGGGCTACATGACGGCGGCTATGACCCATCTTGCTCAGAAATTGGCTTCTCTCCTGCAGACCGAGTATTCAGGCCTCAAACATCGTCGGTTGATCCATCAGGATGATAACCATTCATGTGGCACAATTCTTTTGGCTCATGCCGCCTCCATCTTGGGCCTGACAGGCACATTCGATGATGCCCAGATCCAGCAGCTGCATGAATGGCTTCTTGGACATTTCCCCTTTAGTGCACATTCCCCGGGTGGACCTGAAGTTTCTGGTCTCCAAGGTGAATTGGCTCAGATCCTTATTAGCAAAGGTGTCCCCGCCAACAGTGCTTTCGAACGTGCAGGAGATGCCATCACAGCATTGGGCTCTGACAAGCTCGCAGCAGCCATGACGGCCAAGAATCCATGGCAGGCTCTGAAAGGGGTCGCCACGCAAGGCAAAAAGCAGTTCAAGTTTGTCCTTGCTTGGGAGCTTCAAGCCCACATCGAAAAGAGAGCAAAGGAAAAGCATGGTGCCAACCTCCCACGAGAACGCAAGAAGGAAAAGCATGCCATTGAGATTCCTGCAGTTCCTGATCCTAGCCAATTGCAGCTCCATCTAAATCACTTCCGTGATGCTGATGGTAATTCAATCCCTCAGATTGCCTTCGCTGATGTCTACAATGATGCCAGAGGGATTGCGCTATGTACCAAAGCTGAAGCCATGCCATTCATCCAACAAGCCAAATCCATTTCAGCGCTGGCTCTTGCTTTGCTCATTGTTGAGGAAGTTCCAACAGCAGAACGAGGGGTGGCCAAGGTTGGTGAGCTTCGTTTCCCCGCCACTTACACGGCAACAGATGACCCTGTGCTCATCCGAGGAGCTCTACTTCAGTTGGGCGACGTCTCGGTTGTTCGGGCAGGGCCTCCAGACCCTATGGCATCTTCATCTTTGGCCCCCACGATGGTCATCAAGTTGGCCATCTTTCGCGATGAATTGGCATTGGATTGGTCTGATTTTGTCAAATCACCAGTCAAGCACCTATTGACCATGGTGCCGGCTTTGCGGCTGTGTCGAGCTTCTCCTTGTCCTGATGGCACTCGCTGTGGATTTTATCACCCACCTGTCGATGAAACACCTGATCAAGTACTACAAGAAGTGTGGTCACGCAGGTTCACTCTTCTGGCAGGCTCCACTTGTGAGGCAGCTCAAGCAGATTTGTTCACGGCCTTCCTTCGTATCCTTGCAGATGCGGCAGCAGCCGTGCTTCGGGTCAATCAGACTGGCATCTACTTTGAACCAAGGGATGAGGCCACACGCTCAGCACATCCTGGTTATGCAGTTGTCTGGATTCCGCAAGGAGATGCTGATCGCGCTCTTCATTTACTGAGAACCACACCGGAAGCCATGGCACTGGTGAGACTCAAATCTCGCTATGGACTGCGTGTTCAGGCCAAGCATGAGCAGACAGTTCATGAAGCCCTGCGACCCAATGCTGAGTTTGTTCAGGTGCGGATCACTCAGATCTATCGGCTGCACCCTTTGCCACATGGACTACAACGAGCAACTCTTGCCAAATTCCTGAAAGAGATCAAATGGTGTGCACGGCCACTTCAGCCCTCAAGGGGTAGCTCGGAAGGGGCTAGCTGGAATGTTGGGGCCTCATCGGCACCGCCAACACCTTCAGTTCATGCCTTTGGACGGGACATCCTCATCACGCTTGTCAAGGAGCACAACTCCGGCCCGGCGCCCACTTGTTTGCTTGCAGCCTCTCGACGTACCCAGCGGCACATTCAAGCGCATGCCACTGGGGCCGTCAAGCCAGACACTGACCCCTGGCTAGCCACAGATCCTTGGAGTGCATATCATGCTAAAATTGCTCTTCCAGCAACTAAGCCGGACACAAAGCACATCGATGAAGTGGCCCAGAAACTGCAAGATTCAGTCCGCACGGAGGTCCTCAAGGAAATCCAGAACATGCCAGCTGCATCTGGTTCTACCTCTTCACCGATTGTAGACCAGCGATTCTCCAAGCTCGAGGCTGGTCTTCAAGAAGTCCGTGCACAAGGTGATCAGTTCCAAAAATGGTTCACTCAGGCCAATCAGCGAATGACCCAACAGGAGCAGGCTTCCAACGCTCTCAAGAGTGCAATTGACAGCCAACAAAAGGAGCTGGGGGTCCTTAGACAAGATGTTCAACAGACTGGCATTCAGGTTGGGACTCAGCTTGCTTCTCTTCGAAATGATTTGGGCTCACATCTTGATGACAAGATTGACTCGGCAATGCAGCGCTTTGAAGCTCTTTTGTCAAAGAAGCAGCGCACTGAGGATTGACTACGGCCCCCTGGGCTGCCCCCTTCCTTCTCGGAGGCAGTGCCAGGAGCTGGCCAGTCCATGAGATGGTCTTTTCAACAGGCATCGAGCCTGGTCACCAATTTCACCTGGTCCTCTCAGGGGT